AAATTCCCCGCAATGGAGAGTAAAGCACTGTTCAATTATTTTGGCAGGACTCTCTGATATTTGACTTTCCTGCCAAATACTAAAAACACATAAAATAATGGAGGCTCTGCCCTCTTTAGAGTTCATAATCTTTGCAATTAGAGTTGATTTCTTATTTGTAATGTTCAGTTCAGCTCCTTGTGCTCTATGGCCTCATACCTGCCCACTCAGGGCCTTTCAGCCATAGCTTCTCAATAGACACCATCTGAAGAAATAAAACTTGGGGCTATAACTCTTTTTTCAGCAAAGACAAACCATATTCAATCATCTTTATTTAGTCTAATCTGGCTTCTGAAATGTATACTTGGAAAATTCTAGGAAGGAAATCTAAGGGGGCAGTGGGAAGAAGACAAAAGGAAATTGCAATTACTCATATTTTAAAGGTTTTTAAAATAGCAATTTTCCCTCCCACTTAGGTATATCTTAGCCCACTTCATCGATCTACAGAGCTTCATGAATAGTAATCTTTCCACCTAGCAACTGCATGTTTATTTATTCATTCACTTAACCCACTCTTACTGTCTCCCATGTGCTAGCCTAGGTACTTTATATTTGCTATTCATTTAGGTGGCATTTTTCCTCCAAGGAAGCAAGCCCTTTTAACACAGTCATACAGCTAAGACAGTAGTTACACAGAGCAGGTCTAGAGCAGAAAAGATAAATTGACATTCAAGTTCAGTTCCAGGAACAAGAACAAAAGCAAATGTAGTTCCAGAAATTTTAACAGAGAGCCAGTGTGGCTAAAATAGAGTCCCTCACTGGCTTTACTAGATGAGAATTTAAGCGCAAAAACCCCCCAAGTCTTTCAAAGAGCAAGTCCTTCAATCAACATAGTGTTATACTATATACATATGTAGTACATAATGTGCACAGTTTAGGGAATAGCTACATGTAGTTAGCATATCTTCATTCTTTTTATTCCCCTTCCCATCTGCATTGTCCTCCCTCGCTCAGTCTCTAGATCTCCTCAGTCATTTCCTTTCTTCCTTTCTTTCTTTTTCTTTTTTTTTTTTTTGTTCATACTTGCAACACATAATGGTAGTATTCTGTGATAATGTATACAGAGACAGAAACACACACACACAGGGATATTACTCAGTCTTTAAAAAGAATAAAATCTAATAGGGATGGATAGACCTGGAGAACATTATCCTAATTAAAATAAACCAGGCCCAGAAAAACAAATGTGTGTACTCTAAAAAAATGTTAAATTCAGAAACAGAAAGAATGATGCTCCCGGGGACTAGTGGGTAAGGAAAATGATGGTCAAAGAGTATAAAGTTCTACTACACAGGAAGATTAAGTTCCAGAGATCTAATGTACAAGATAGTGGCAATAGGTAATGATACTGTATCATATACACTTGAATGCTGGCGTCTGCAGGTTCTGCATCATGGATGCAAGCAGCCACAGATACAAAATATTTGAAAAAAGAAAATGAATCTCAGCATAAGCAGATTTTTCTTGTCACTATTCCCTAAACACACTATGTTATATTCACATGCATTGACATTATATTATATTAAGTATTATAAGTAATTATAGAGATGGTTTTAACTAGACAAGAGAATGTATATTTGCTATATGAAAATAGTATGACATTTTATACAAGGGACTTGAGCATCCCCAGATTTTGGTATGTTTCCTCATGTATCCTAGTACCAATATCTCAGTTGATGACAAGGTACCACTGTACTAGTCATTTTCTACCAGAATAGATCTCTAATGTTTTTGCCACACATATACAAGGATAACTATATGAGGTGGTGGATATACTAATTAGCTTGACTGTGTTTACCATCACAAAATGTATTATATACAAATCAAAGCACTACATACAGGGCAAGTATATACAATAGTACTTGCCAATTATTCTTCAGTAGAGTTGGTGAAAAAAGGTTATGACAAAGAAAAAAAAACTGAAATGTCTCCACTGATCAGAAACAAAATGTAAATTAAAAATGCAAAATATACTTTAGCAGAGGTGTTCACTAACCTACATCCATAGGACATCAGGGTAAAAAGTGGCCCCAGAAAAAGGCCAGGACTGGAGCCAGGCTCACTGCTGGAAGTAAGAGAACATGCAGAGATGCAGATGCTTCCACACCACGATGAAAAGGGGGCTTTTCAAATGTGCTTGTCTAGGGAGAAAACAAAGAATCAGCCACAGTCCCTCTACTGGACATGGGCTGTTCTGCCGCTGCCCTGGTGACAGACCTTAGACACACCATCATCATCACTGAAGAGAGGTCCCTACCTGCAAATATAAGACTTTAGGGTCCTTGGGGAAGAAAATAGCCAAACGCAAATCCCTAAAAGAGTCAGGGTGTGTGCAGAGAATGAACACCTGAAGCCAGCGCAAGATGAGTATCTAACTATAATTTCAAAGCACAGGAGAAATACTAGAACTTCAGACAACAGCCAATCAAGTCAGCATCATAGGAAGTCTCTTCAGAAGAAAGGAAAAAACAGAACAACCTGAAAATGATGCTACACTGGGGTTTTCAATACAAGGAGGTGATTGTACAGATCATCTTACAGTTTAACATTCCTCAAGTTAAATTTCTTACTATGGAAATTCTGAAGTTCTAAATGTTTAACTCATACTTTTCAATGATGTGAATATGCCATGTCATCCCTATATTTAGCAACTGGAAGATCACCAAGTAGATCTGTGTCTCCTGAGAGGGAGAGTGACAGGCCAAGTCTCCTACCCCATCGACAGTCTGTGGAAAGCCTGGAGCTTGATTTGGGCCACTCTGCAGAGGCAGAGTGGATACGAATCATTACAGTGAACAACATGAATGAGGACGCTCTAGGCTATCTTTGGTTAGAGCACTGTTTGTTTTGCACAGTTCCAGATGTTGAACCCTGGGCCTCTGCATTGAACTACATCATCCCTAGTGCTTTTTTATTTGAGGCAGTCTTGCTAAGCAACTAGGTCAGCCAGGTTGGATTCAAACTTGCATCATCCTCCCTTAATTCCCAGAGTGCTGGGATTATAGTCATGGGTCATTGTGCCCAGCTTAGAACATCTTTACTGAGAGAAGATGTACCAGAAGACAGAGTAAGAAAATGAATCCTTTCCCAACACCACATGCAGACCTACCCCCAGCCCCCGCACACACACCCACAGGCAAGCTGAGCTGGCCACAGAGTCCAGGCGTGGTGGCACATGACTATAATACCACCACAGGGGAGGCTGCAAATAGGAGGATCACTATGAGTCTGAGCTGCATAGTGAGATCTTCTACCAAATACATAAAAATAAAAAAAAGAAAGAAAATGGATCCTGAAAATTAAACATGAGCTGTTTGACTAAAATCATGGTAAAGGACAAATAAATGTATTACATTTTGTACCACTGCTACTCACAAAACATATCTACTTTTATAAACAACATTATGTACATATGAAAGCTGGAGATTCTAAATATAAACATCCATGTGATGAAGTGATTGAGTCATTCATTATTCATTCTGAAGAAAATTGAGGCTTTAAGCATACTCTTCTTATCTTTATGCTCTAACCTGCTCCCCAAAAAAGGCACTACATAAAGCAAATCAACTGAAGACCAAACATTGAAAAAAAGTTTCTGTAGTACGGAATGTGAGGATTTCACTGAGCTGCTCCTACTCCTCAGGTGTTGTCAGTACTTGGGAATTGAATGAATCAAGTTTTTCCCTCATTCAAAGGAGTGTGTAATAATAGCTGCTACTAGGAACAAAAGGGGGTGAGGCAGAAAGGAAAACCACATATTCCACTCAAATTCCTGCTAGAATTTTGGCTTAGGGAGAGAAAACCCCTGTGGAAAGTTGGCAAAGCAAGAAAGCACAGTTGCCTTTATGAAAATAGAATGACTAATTGTAGTTATTTTATTTAAATCCCAAACAAATGCTGACAAAATGCTCCTTCTTAACCCCTCAAGGAGACCCTAGAGGGCTCTCCAGATGTCAAGCCTGTGGCAACCTCTAACTGATCTAGAATTACAGGCTCAGGGGTAGTCAGTTCTCTGAGACAATGTTCAAAAGCAGAGCTCCATGCTAAAGCAACATAAGTATGTGCACGGGGCCTGAGGTGGGAGGTTGCTCAGTTGTTGCTTCCGAATGTGGAACCAGGGCCAGAACTCCCAATGGGGCAAAGGCAATGCCAACCAGGCAGCAGGTACTTACCGAAAAGCTCAGGGGCCAGATGATAAATCTGACTTTTTGGTAGCTCCCTCTCAAACAGAAGAAAATCATAATGATTAATGTGCTGCCAGTGATTGAAACCCAAAAATCCTTGCCAACAGAGATTCATTATAAAGGAAATCAAGAAGTAACATACAATTACCTGACAGTTATTTAAAAGTTAATTACTCAAGTCCCGTTTCCCCTTTTTTTCTTCATCCTACTTAATTTCTTTTGACCATTTCTTTCCATTGACTAGGTTCCCTCAAACCGTTACGGAAATAAAGCTGATGAGACTTCGAGCTACTCTAGGTTGCAAGCTATCACTAAAGGTTTGGTGAAGGGAAGGAAGTGTGCACGGGGTGGGGCGGTGGGTATTAAAATTACTGGAAAAGTGACTGTTGTTCATTTTGGTGAGAAGAGTATAAAGTATGGGTGCTAGAGCCAAATAGCTTTAGTTTCTCATCTGCTGCTCACTGGCTGCATGTCCTTGGGCAAACCTGGTCTGTCTGAGTCAACTTCCTTAGAGGGAAAAAGGTGAATATTAATGCCTATGTTGGAGGGCAGTTATAAAGACTGAAAAAAGAACTAAATAAAGTTCTTCCTATCTGGTAGGCATGTAAGCTAAATGATTAAAAACTATGTATAACTGACTCTTTTCATATAGTTAAGGTGAAATCAAATGTTCTTCAGTGGAGAAGGAGGATTTCCCAAGTAAATGTGCATATTTTAACTACAAACTTCCTGGTGACTTCCATTTGTATCATTAGATTTGCATGAGTTAAACTTTACCTGTCGGCTTCCCTGCTTGGAGGAACAGCTACTTGTGCTCCTTGAAGGTGACACCAATTTTTGGGACACGCCGAGGTTCTTCTCATCACTCATCCTGAACAACTGGTCCCTTGGCCTTGATGCAGTCAGAATGCCATTCGAAGACAGTGGAACGGAGAATATGGAGTCCCACACAGGCTGGTAGTTCAGCTCTTATCCAACATACTTAAAAGCATTTTGGACTACCCAAAGGAAATTCCTAAATGAAAAGAAAAGAAATTAGAGAGAAGGTCAGAAGTATTGTTGTAGACAGCTGAGTTAGAAATATTATAGGCAGTCAGACAGGGCTGGGCCCTCAAAGGAGCCAGTGTGGAAGATAAGATACCTCCAACTGTGGGAGACACAGACACTCCCACTGTGGGCCAGACCTCAAGACAAAAGATCAAACAAATGCCTACCTCCCTACAGTCAGACATCAGGAATTATTATTCTAAATAGGTCTCTAGCACCTTGAGAAAGTCAGGAAGAGTCATGAACCCAATCCCTTGCATGGGTCGTTCAGTGGTAGAATTCTTGTCTGCCAATCCCTTTTTCTCCTATGGGAAAAGCCCCTATTCTGTATTCATGCCCAATTGCTACATGATGTGCTTCCCCATTTGATCCCAATTCAATCAATTTTACCTGAGCAGTTATGCTTGTAATCTTATTGGTTTGACCATAGTTTTGTTCTATCTCATGCCCACTGGTGAGTTCTCATGTTTCCTACCTTGAACCTGCCTCACTTCCTGGTTTTGCTCTATAAAAATCCCTAGAAAAGCCAGGCTCCTTGGCAACCAAGTCAAGTCCCCTTCTGTGCCTCTCTCAGACAGAAACTTTCTTTCCCTTAATAAATATATTCTGGCTTAACCTCTGTTGTTCCTAAAATTAATTCTTCAGTTTTAGAGAACATGAACTCATCCCAGGTATCTTTCAAGTTGGGAGTTTCTTTCCCCTGTATCAGTATCAAATATCATTCTCAGACACAAATCATCTGCAAATGATTTATCCATACAGAGATTCCAGAGCCCTTGTGCTAACCTCTAATAGAGTCTGAGAAGGAAAAGATGCATTACAACTTCCTCTAATTGGAAATTCTGTGTGGGTGGATTTTCATGTAGCCTTACAATATAATGGCCTAAGAACATTAATATGGAAATTTAAATTGACACACATACACACAATCAGTACTGTAAAAAATCCAAAGCCATAACGAGAAACCACATTAAACTCCCTATGATAGCTAAAAGAAAAACAGTAACAAAAAAAAAAAAAAAAGACAATAGCTAATGTTGGAAAGAGCATGGAGATATTGGAGCCCTCAGACATTGATAATAGAACCAACAATGAGGGCTGGCATAGTGGTAGACACCTGTAATCCCAGTACTGGGGAAGCTGAAGTAGGAGGAGCACTATGACTTCAACACCAGCCTGAACTATATAGTGAGCCCCTGTCTTAAACAAAACAATGGTACAAGTATGTACAGTTTGACAGTTTCTCAAAAATGCAAAGGGGCGGAGATATAGCTCAGCAGCACAGTGTCTGTCTAGCAAGCACAAGGTCCTGAGTTCAATTCCCAATACCAAAAGAAAGACAAAGATGGAATTACTATATGATACAACAATGTTCATGGTCAAAAGTGGAAACAACCCAAAGGTACATCAACTGATGAATAGAGAGACTAAATCTGAGAAAAAAATCTAATAGAATATTACTTAGATAATAAAAAGGATGAAGTACTGATATACATTATAACTTGAGAAACGCTGAATACATTACCAAACAAAGCAGACATAAAAGACCACATGTTATTTTATAAATTTCTCTTTATATATCCAGAGTCAGTAAATCCATAGAGACAGGAGGCCAATTAGTGGCTGCCAGAGATGGGAATTTGTATTCTCCAAGGTTTTTGGAAAATATCTTCTTAAAAAACAGTGTAAGACATATAACAAACACTGCAAAAGAAGCAGAATTTTCTATAGTAGCATATTAAGGATTAAAACAAAGATAACTTATAAAGTATATACTATTTACTGCCAAGCAAATATTGTTTCCTTTAATTAACAAGGTTACCAAAGTATTAAATTTATTTTATAGAGAAAAAAACAAGCATCACAGCAGCCAGGTCGCTTTCCCAGTCACACAGCCAGCAGGAGGCTGAATCAAGGTACTCTCCCAGCCTTCTGATCATAGTATTGAAAACTGGCCCCCACCCAGCATCCAGCTGTGATGATAACAGCTGCGGTCCTATGCAGGAGAGCTGGGGAGCTGGACTAGAAAGACTGGGGGTGAGTGACTGCCGAGATGACACACCATACCTTTCTAGATGCAATACAGGTCTCCAAAATGCCTAAGTATCTGGAGTGGGGAAAGACATGGATGGACCAGGGCAGTGACAGGCGTAGCCCTGACGCTTGCTGGCTGGGCTGCTTCCTGACACCTCTGGAGCAATTCGGGAGTACTGTCTTGATGGAGAGTTCCCCTAGTCCAGGGAGGAGAAGCCCTGGAATCACACCACCTTTATCCACATCCCTGAGTTAGGGGTAATGAAGCTGTTTAGTTTTGGGATTCAGAAAGTCAAGGATTTTATCAAACACATTAAATTCAAGTAAATCTACAACTTTCTCATCCATGTTAACCACAGTAAGAAAAATTACATCCAGTCCATCCAAGTACTAGTATGCACATAGTCTAATTTTAACAGAAGAATATTATACAATTGTATAGAAACAGGCTAGTTAGGATGCAAAACTTTTGGTTAATTATTAAATAGTCAAATCTGTTATGTTTCCCTTGACATTTAGCTCTTTAAACTAAAATCAGACCAATGAAAGAAAATGTCTAAATTTTAGAAAATAAATTAAAGCACCCATAGTCAAAGAAGTTCACTGCAATGTTACTACCATCTAATTTATAACTCTCTCTCTGTCTCTCTCTCTCTGGTAGGTTGAAACCTACAATAAATAAGACCAAAAGCAAACAACGCCGACCTCTTCGTAACATTCACTCTTCTTACTGGGACATGATTAAGTGTACCTGGATTAGGAGCAAACTGATCTAGTTATAAACTGCCAAGAGGTGCTGTAAAGATACACTACTAATTTGTTTAATAACCATGTTGGCTGTGCTGTTTGAGAAAGGCAAAAACAACTAACCCGGTGGAAGCCAGAAAAGACTGAATGAATAAATATATGTGTGAACGTGTGTGTGTGTGTGTGTGTGTGTGTGTGTGCACATATGTGTGTCCATGTGAATATGTACAGGTTACATTGCTATGACAACATATCCACAGTGGATTAGGAATATCAACAAACAACACCTGCTTATGTGTGCAAGTTATTTTCTGTTTGTTTGGTTTGGGTGTGTGTTGGTTTGGTTTGGTTTGGTTTGTTTCTCTTCAGGGCTAAGATCCTGATAAACAAGAATACAGAAGAATGTGAAATGTGAAAAAGGGAGTGAAGTGAGGACAACAAAATGAGAGCCACTGTGCCAAAACAGAAGGACATAACCCTGTCTTAGAAGCAACAGCTATAAAAGGCCATGTTTATCTTCTGACCCTGCCAATCTCACTTTGGAGGGGACAACTACTTGGGCTGAGACTATTAGTAGGCCACATCTGAGTCTCCTGGAAATTGGCGCTTATGCTCAAGGTTTCTGCAGCACATCATGCCTGGCTCTCTCACCCTTCAGAGGAAATAAGAATCCATAGCTCCTCTCACATCCACATCCTCAGCAGAGTCTGGGACTACTGCCCCGGGAAATACATCTGCTTCATCCCCCAGCACCTACCTTCATGCTAGTCTCTATAAAACTTTAGCTAAAATGACCAAGGGTGGCTTAAGTTCTGAGAAAAGCACATGCTTAGATGCAACAAAATATGGAGGCAGCAACAGCCTAAGACTGAGGGACCCAAAGAGTAAGGGTGGTCACTTACAAAGAAGTAATTATTATGTCCACCCTAGAGGACTCTGCAGGGATGGGCTGGTTCACCACAGGGAACCAACTGGCAGGAGCCCCAAGAAACCTCCATGGAGGTGTATATTCTATGCCAAGTAGCTGTTTCATTGTGCCGACCTACATCGATGAGAAATTCTCTAAGAAGTGGGACCAGGATCCCAGGCTACTGATTCAAGAGTCTGTGCAAGAATGAGGTGGGTATCCATGAAGTTTTTTGAGTGTTTTTACCTCATCCACTGACCTCGAATGGAAGATGTCGAACTCAAGAGATTCACTGGTTAGGAAAAAATGCAATAGCTTCCTGATCACAGACTTCAAAGAGCTTAAGGATGATAATTTCATTTCCACCTAGTTTTTAAAATGAAGCACAACTTCCATAGAGTAAAATTAACAGATCTTAAGAACACATACAGAATGTTACACTGGCAAGTACACAAGCCTCACTCAGAACACTGTGAGCCTTTGAAGAAGGGTCCTTGGCCCCAGGGGTTGATCCCTGAACAGGGCTGAGCACTGCATCCTTGCCAATGTGCTGGAGGGGTCAAACAGGCTCCAGAGCTGCTTTTTTATTTCCTACCTGTAAAGAATGTTTGATGTATGGCAGAATTTAGTTTGAGATCTCCTTTCATGTCAATAAATCATCAATTTGAGAAGGAAAACTCATAACTCCCTTTTCTCTAAATCATAGAGGCCATCAAATTAACCAGGTGTGAAAAGCAGATACAACTTAGGCCAATTGAAAAATGTCCTTCTGGGACCTCTGAAATGATCAGGTTCCTCTCTCACCACTGGCACTCACCTATGAGAAGACCATGGGCCAGGCCCTGGGTGAAAAACCAGTGTTGCAGTTAAAAGTCAAATGGTGATAAGTCATGCAAACATGTGGCAACCTAGGTCTTCCACAGGTGAAAAGTGGATGGATTCCTACCAAAAATGGGGAACAATTAGGAACTATGGTTTTGCCAAGGCTGATTTGTAACTTGTTTTGTTTTGCTTATATGTTTGTTTTGTGATACCTGGGATTAAACTCAGGACCTTGAACTTGCCAGGCAGGTCCTTATGCCACTAAGCTATATCCTGGCCCTGTAAGTTACTTTTAAAACAAATGTCACTTAAAAAAGAGATTATCATTTGGGAAAAATGGCAAGAAGACATGTACATACCACATATGAGCCTCTGAGAGAGCTAACTAGGGTTTGCATTGGTGCTTCCTTATTACAAACACTGGGCCTGCCATGTTGGCCCTGCCCCAGGGGCTCACT